TTCTCATTGACAAATTTACATTGTTCTTGAAGTTGCAAAGTATATCATTTCTCTTACGAACTTGTATTCTTTATTTCATTTCATACCGTTTTACAGTTAATTTTGACAATGAAATGCATTTGCCTATGAAAGGAAAAAGAAGAAGTTGTACTTATTTTAGTACTAAGGAAGCAGATTTTCGATCAAACATCGAGTCATTTTGTTTGCAAATTGCCTAGGATGTGGGTATGGGTGTGTCCACACTCACAACCACACCCTCCAACGCCCTAATAGTTGTGCCACCTATATCTCCAGATTGGTTTATCCATTCGAGCTGAAATTTTGAGTTTCTTCCTAAATATGTTAGGCCTACCTACTATAAAAATATCAGCCAAATCAGTGAAAACGATTGCGTAAAATTGGTCGTGACTTACGTGTAATGCCTCTTAGTTTTAGTAACCTCATGTTTTCGTTGACTTAGTTTCGGTCCTGACCTTTGTATTGATTCAGAGAAAATTATGTGTGAATATGTGCACAAAAAAAAAATCTGTAAGTTCTTAAAGTTTCATTCAATTCATTCAAATATTGTAAATTATATTGAACGATCTTCTTTTCTTATTTGTGTCAATCGGCATCATACATAAGGTAACTCACTCATAAAAAGTAAAACAACTATAAACTTTGATCTCAAATCCATAGGTACATTGACAATGAGCATTGATAATATCAATCTTCTCGAAAAAATAGAAACATTTTGAAAGTGAGGTGTAAATTAATTAGTTTTTACAAGCCAACAATATCTTTTTTCATAAAGATCGTTCTCTAAAAAAAATTTCCAGGTACGCATCTGCTCAGACTTTTTAAATTTTAAATTTTAATCCTTATCTCATTTCATAGACCGTACCAAAGCTATAGTTCCATCCACCTTTAGCAATTATAGAAAAAGTTAACAATCATCGATTATTAGAGTAAATTGTAAATATTCATAATTACAATATATGTAGCTTTTTCTAAGTATTTATTTAAATAGAAGAAATTTTTCAATAAAACTAATATTTACAATAAAGGAAAATATGAATGAAAATTTTCTGGACGAACAAATGGTTCAGGTATAAGAATGTATTGTAATTGACTACAATTGAAACGTGCTGCATCATTCGTAAAATTATTTGTCACCATAGATAATGATTCATATTTGATACCAAGAATTGTTAATCGAGGTAAACGAATATTTGTTTCTAAGAAAAATTCTTCAACATAATCAATATGTGCATATGCAATATTCAATTCAGAAATTTCAAATGTAATCAATGTAGATGAATGTTGTTTGCTCTTTTGTAGTTGAATATTATGCACAGTTAATCGTTGTAGAAAAGGAAAAATCTTGAGAAATTATTTTAAAAAATTCATGTTCAAATGATTGTCCATCATTCATAACCAGCCATCGAACTTTATAGCAATTACCACGCCGAAATGAGTTGGTTAAATGTAAAAAAGTATCGAATTGATATGGAAGTGAATATACATGACATCTGGCTCCAATTTTCGTAACATTGATATCTGAATCTAGATGTTGATATCCTATTTTGATAAAACTATTTTGAATCTCATCATTCGATGGAAGATTAATTTTATCATCTTTATTAAAAAAGTATTTATACTGAATGTAAATTTATTTAGCCGTGGCATTTGAACAAGAAAATCATTGTATAAATGAGTACCATCGATATAAGGCAATTTAATTCTTGTTACTGCGATAAGTAATGTCAATTCTACGAGATTTAACATTCGACAAAGTAGTGGAACAATTTGTTTGTCATAACCATATGTTGGAAAATATGAGATCAATGAAAAATATTTTTATTTGAGTAGTTTGTTCTATAAAGAAAATAGATAATCAATTAGTATATTTTATAGTTATATGTTGGGCAATTGACAATGATCATTTCAAATATATTTAAAGATTTGTAATTGCAGTTTTCATGCCAGAGATTCTGTACCGCGAATAAGTTGTTAATTATCTGATTTAACTATTAAAAATAAAATGATATCGAATACTTACTGTGTTATCTATATTTGATGATGAATCCGAAATTTTACGTATATTAATGATTAATGTGGATAAACATTCAAAATATCCATTAAGAATATATAAGCAATCATCAAAAGTGTTAACATTAATTTTCATTTTAGTTAGAGTTAAAGATACAGGATTCATCGGTATTAAATTAAAAGTAGAGTCGGTTACATTTCTGTCGCCAACCTGTTGATAAATATTCAAATCTGTTAGATGTTTACACAAAAATAATATTAATGTAAATAAATTCGATTCATTTCCATTCGATAATTTTACTATTATGCCACCTTTGATGCCAATTTTAAGATGAGTTATTTGATCACTAAGAATACGAGAAAATCTTACATCACCTTAAATATACACAAAAAAATGATTATCATTTGATATTTGATAATATAGATATTTTATTCATTAAATCAAAATAAAAAGAAATTATAGAATATACTTGTTAAATATTGTAAAAGTATTACTTGTTCAAAATTGACAAGTGATAGCGAGTGAAGTTGAGAATAATCAATTGTATTAAAAATAAATTTCATAGAAGATGATGTTATCGTGATTTTATTCACTTTATAATAAATTCGAGGTAAAACTTTTGTGCAAATTTGATAGAAAACTTGTTTAAATACTGGAGAATTATGATCAAACGATGTTTCGACTGTTAAATCCAAATGATGAATATAGAGAGAGGATCAAATACTAATTGATTAAAGCGTTTGTTTAAATCCATAAATGAATAGAATACATCAACCATATTCAATTAATTGAGAATAATAAGTAAGATTTCATCAGGTACATCGAGTATATTTATATCATTGTTATTTAAAATGTTCATGTCTCACAGTTATTATCTATTTGCTTCGATCATTTCCTCTTCCTTTCTGTCTATATATATATATATATATCTTGATCTTCTATATTTATTTGCAATATTTTACCCTCTGACTATAACGGTCCTATAGGGACAGCCGATCTTCACCAAAAGATTAAAAATTAAAAGAAAAAGATAAAGAAAAACAAATATGAGGAGCAAAAGAAGCGAAAGAGACAGAAAGGTAGAAAACCATAAATCAGATGAGCAGAGGGAGCATAAACTAAATATCATTCCAGATATAGTTAATGAAAACGATATTCATATCATTTTCAATTCAACAATTTATCTATAGCTTATTTAGGCGACGAACCAAGCAATTTATCCAGTCTGTTGGTCTTTTCGTTGAACAGAGAGAGAAAATCATCTGGCACGGGAAGTATTTTACTTTCACGCATTATGCAGAATAATCTAGTGATATTTTTTAGTAGTATATTCGCGTCCTGTTGATAACTGTTGAACATCGACTCAGTACCTTCCGCTTTGTTTTGAACGTACTGAACCTTTTGTTGTTCAATTTCAAACTTCTCTTCTAACATTTTTATCTTGGCTTGCAAATCACGCACTTTCTGCTCGTTGATTTCAAGTTGTTCATTGAGTGAGTCTATACGACGTTTGTTTTCGACATGATGCTCGAGCATTTCTGTTTTGAACAATTCGATAGTAGAACGGGTTTTCTCGTCTTCCTCTTCCATTTTCTTAAAAATTTTATCCATATCGCTTGAATTCGGAAGTGAGGAGTTTGTGAGATGAGACTGCCAAGATGAATGTGATGTAAGATCTGGATACTTGTCCGTAACTGTAACTGGTGGTTTACTAAGAAGAGTTCGAGTAAGAGCTGCACGATAATTCTTTATGATACGACATTTTGAGTCATTGGAGCGATGCGCTCCTCCACAATGGATACATTTTAATTCACCAGAGCATGCATGATCCTTGACATTGGCATATTTCTCACCACAGGTATTACAAGTCACTTGATCCTGTTGTGGACAGTTCTTTTGAAAATGACCAATGCACTTACATCGAGAACATATAAGAACGTTAGCCAATGCTAAGTATTCGACTACTTTATACCGCATGTTTGAAATGCTAATGAACTTGTGCTCGAGAATTTCATTACGTATCTTAACTGATTTGATTTCGATTTTGAGTGATTTGAGATCTTGTAAATTTCGATTTTTTAAACGGATCGTCTTAACTATGTCAGGATACTTTGCTTGAAGATAAGCTATAAAATCCTCCCAGTCAATATCGAACGATACATTTTGGATAACTAGTGACAATTGAGCTGGAATTGACGGTTTCTTTAGTGTAAAATCTTTGCCAACTAATTGCGACGGCCAATGTGCATCCTCAAATAGAAATTCAAATGAGTCTGTTGTTTCCACGAAAACGAGCACATCATATTCTCCATGAGCGCAATTAACCTGAGATCTTCGATAACCTATGATTTGAAGACCAAACTTGAACTGCTGTTTCGAATGATTCACTAGGTGCTCGACAACAAGTTTATCACGTACGTTATCTTTAAAGTGGATAACAAACGGCGAGAACGGATAACGAGTCGTGGCATACCGCTGCGCTTGAGACGCCACTTGACTATTACTATCTGCCATAATGTTGAGCGGATCAAGATAAGATGTTTGATTACGAAAACTTTGAGGACGAATATTAAAAGAAACCGTGGTAGGCTGATTAGCAGCATTGGAAATATTCGATTTGAAGGTGGAACGATTAACTTTCTTATAACCACGAGCTGTTTGCCAACCATCTTCATTATCAACTGAAAAACTGACGTCATGATGTCCTACTTTCATTCTTTCCTGCTCGAGTGAAATTGTGTTCGATGTAAGAATAGAAGGAGATGCCTGCACGTTGGTGCTCTGATGATAAACAGGAGGAGAAGAGCGATGGTATGCAATAATAGAAGGACTAAACTGTTGATTTTCATTTGTTTGTTGGTGTAATGGTTCAAAGTGCTTTATTGAATTATTACTAATTGATCGAGGCATTGTATTCAGTTGTATAGGAATAAACTGTCCATTCTCAATAACACCTGACATCGATACTAGTTGACCAGAATGAATATATGCTTGATCCTGATGTTGATTTTGAGACTGTAATTGAGCTTATTCAAGACATAACCGGTTGTAATCGGCAGATTCAAGTTGAGCATAGGATTTTTCCTTGACACTGAGATCAGAAGTTCCGATCAGATTTGGAATCGAAGCAATGGAAGTTTGCTGTACATCCATGTACACGTAGTACTTCCTGTCGTATACAAGAAGCAGAACAAAAAGAGCACAGCGGCAAAAGAATGCGACTAACCAACACGATAGTGAAAAGAGGAGTGATATCTTGATCTTCTCATTGCCGTCTATGAGAATAATATAAATATAATCATGTCAAACAATCATCGACGGTTGATGCTTTTTTTTAATCCGCCTAGCCTAAAATGTTTTTTTCTCATTTATAACGAATAGAATTCGTGCGGTCACTTTTCGAATGTTTTTATGTTTATCATACATCGAATAAATTATAACATGCAATATCATACTTACACTAAGTTGAAATCGATTAAAAACTTAGATACTTGAAGATCTCATCATATATATATATATGAATATGTTTCTGTTTTTATCTCAAGTTAGAATTATATTTCATTAAATTTGAAAAGACAATGAATAATCTAAATATTTTTATGGCTAATGAAAGACTAATTGCGTATAGACAAAAAGAATATATGATATGAAAAGAAAACATGACAGATAAAAAGAATGACATATTCTATAGTTTTTCTTTAAATGATGCTTTTTTAAAATGATCCTTCTATTTCTGCATCAAATTTCATCTTGAGGGTGTGGGTGTAGGCGGATGTGGTTTTGGGTGTTTATTTTGTTTTCCATCACACCCACACCTACACCCAGCCGCACCCACACCCTAGCCACACCCACACTCTGAAGATCTCGAGAGCATGTCTGTTGGATTGGGCATCGATTTTAACCTATTTCAGTATGTTTTGACTATGTTGGGAGAGAACAGAAAAAAATAACCAAAAATCACCTGGCCAATTTTGAGGTGTCCTCAGTAAAATCGACTTTTCTCAGCAACGGAAAGGAATTTTTGAAAAAGCTCTTTATAGATTTGAAGCTACGAATCTAACCATGTAAAAATATTGGCTCTAAGTCATCTAAAAAACCTCTGATAGACTTGCAAAATNTGAATCTCTTCTCCAGTTTGCCGAGCTATTTTGTCTGAATTCGCATATGTTGTCGAATGAATGGTTGAAAGCATGTGAACTTCTCGTTTGTCTTGCCATTTCAGCGCAAGTAAAATATTTGTATGAGAATATTGACTCTCGCTTCTCTTCAATTTAGTTGTAAGAGGTAGTACTCCTTGTCTATTTTTACGAACAGTACCACATGCACCATTTTTATTTCGATGTAAGAGCTCAAAAAGTGCTGGACTTGTATACCAATTGTCAACGTATAAATGGTGCCCTTTATTCAAATAACGTCGCATTAGTTCCATTACCAGTGATCCACTTTTCCAAACCCAGGTGTAATTTGATACTCTGTATTTGATCCGGTGTAAACGATGAAGTCGAGGATAAATTTAGTTTCACAATCGACGAGCTCAAACGGTTTTATTCCAAATCGGTGGCGCTTAGACGGAATATATTGTTTGAATCCAAGCCTTCCTTTCCATAACATGAGACTTTCATCGATGCAAAGATTTTGTGTTGGATCGACAAAATTTGAAAAATTCTTCTTCAAGCCATCTATGATTGGCTTTATTTTCTCGAGAGCGTTGTTGCCGGAAATATTCTCGTTATTTATAAAGTGCAAGTGGTGTAGAATGTCTTGGTATCGATTCCTTGTAAAATACTGACCGAAAATGGGTGTACATAATAAGGGATCGATGCTACAGTAGTCCTGAATCCTATTTTTGTTGATAAGTCCAGTAAGCATCGTAATCGCAAGAAATGTGTATATTTCCATTGAGGTTACGTCCTGACAGTTAGACATATGCTGACGTTCATCTGTTGGATTCTGAGAATGGTAACGATTCGTTTCGTCAACTATACGCTGCGTCATATTCTCATCAAAAAAGAGTTGAAAATAATCAAGCGGTGTTTTTCCAACAAGTGGAATCGTATCTCGTATACATCGTTCCCCACTGAACTCTGGTCTCATTGGTGCAAATGTTCCAGACTTCCAATGACGTTCAGCTGGAAGTTCTTCATCACTAGAGTCAATGGATATGCAGCTAAGAGTTGTCAGGAGCTCATCTTCTGTTGATAAGTCGGACTGAGAATTATTCATAGTTTTCCCAGTTTCCTTCTCAGTCAAATGTCGTTTTCTCAAAGCAGCCATAGTGAAAATGTATGAGATTGGTTATTGAACTCGATGGTTATTATGCAACGAAGAATGTTTTTTATTCGTTCTTACTCTTATCTTTTATTTATTCGAACGGTATATATATATATATAAATAAAGAGAGAGAGAGAATAATACATCCAAAATACAAAGAAAAGAACGGAAAAAAAAGTGATTGTACTGGAACATACTAGAACGACAGAAAATATGGATGAAATGTGCATGGGTAAAAATATCAACAGAAAGGAAAGAAAGAAGAAATATATCACTATGACACCATCTAACAAACGATAAGAAGCTTTTCTAAACGGTTAAAACATGTACTACTGCGGCCTTTATTCGATAAATACATTTGCACACATATATGTGTTGCCGGGAGCGAAAGGGTTAAACATTCCAAATGAACAATTTGATGATATTATACAAATAGGTATATTTACATTTTTTTTCTATTTTATTTTAGAAGAATGAGTGAAACATCAATATCGTCAAGTGTTTCTAACGATAACGATAATCATTCTTCTACGAATAAACAAACTAGTTGTGTCGCTCGTTGTCGTTGGGCTCATGTTCTTGCACTTGTTGATCAACTTCGTCTTAACACAAAACTTAAAAAACAATGAACAATTACGACAATATGCGTTTGATATTCCAATAACCGAAAATCGAGAAATAGATATTCCAACATCTCTTGCAACACAAGGTGATCATTTTAGATCTTTTCAAAATGAACTTTTATTTGTTAAAACTGGTAATTTTAATTTGGATAAATAAAGTACAAGTTTTCTTGATTTAAAACGTACATTTAATCGAATGCTTGAACTTAAAAAAGATGATGTACAACAAATATAATTAGAAACGGCAATAACAAAAACAGCTTTATTAATGGTTTTACGTGCAACGGAATCGATTGTTTAACTCACAACAAAAGGAACAAGAAAATTTCCATCATTAAATTCAATTATTTCATATATTCGTTCTTCTCATACAGAATTACCAATACATGATCAAATACTTGTCGATTGGTATAATGCTGCACATGTACTTGATTTACTTTTTAATTATCCTGATTGGTTTCTACACCCATGTAAAGCATATTGGCCTATGCAAGTATGCAATGAAACAATAGCGTTGGGCACGTGCAGTTGTTAATGAAAATTATCGTCAACATTCTGTGGGACGATCAATTTTCGATCGACATGAGAGTGTCTTGTTTCTTCAATTAAATAACAGCGCATGAAGTCTATTTATTATAGATGTGTACATCTAATTTTATCTGGCTTACTAATTCCACTTAATCATACATCAAAAAAGAAAAAGAAAATTAATATATTTTTGTAGTAATTCAAAGATCAATGAGATGTAGATAAAAGAACAACTTGCAATATAAAAAAACAAAGCAAAATCTTCGATAGTTTTACATTAAGTAGTGTTTTCTTCAATGATCCTGCTGGTTTTGTCTCAAAAGTTGATTTTTAATTGTTTGTATTGCGTGCTATAAATCTTGGATGTGGGTGATGATCACGATAGTTTAGAAAGTTTTGTACGATCACTTGTCGACGGTTTACTCAAATTGATAAAACCTGCATTTACTTCTTCATCAGTTGGCAACACAGTAAATGGATTTGTATAAACAATTGCTGATGAAATCATTATAATACCATCTCGAATTTGGAAAATAATATTGATATTCATTTGTTAAAAAAACAAAAAACTTATGACTTATGATCTTTGGATTTTAGATATACATATCGAATATCGATATAATGAACAAGACCTTATCATTTAAGATAATACTCAATATAATTTAGAATCAAAATAATGTTACCTTAATCTATAATCTGTTTAGAATTCAGAGCACATAGTTAATCACTTCAATTTCATCTTTTTCATTCTTATATTGTTGCTTTGTCAATCATTATACTGAATGTTCATTAGAGATGTACGAGACCAAATTTTATCTTTAAATGTTGTTTCAATAGCTTCCTCTTAGTTTCGGTAACTTCATCTTTTTGTTGACTTAGTTTCGGTCCTGACCTTTGTATTGATTCAGAGAAAATTATGTTTAAATATATACACAAAAAAATCTGTAAATTCTTAAGCTTTCGTTCAATTCATTCAAATATTGCATATTATATTGCACGATCTTCTTTTCTGAGTTATCTGTCAATCGGCACCATGCATAAGATAACTCACTCATAAACAATAAAACAACTATGAACTTTGATCTCAAATCCATAGGCACATTCACAATGAGCATTGATGATATCGATCTTCTCGAAAAGATAGAAATATTTAGAAGTGAGATGTGAATTAATTAGTTTTCACAAGCCAACAATATCTTTTTTCATAAGGATCGTTCCATAAAAAAATTCCCGGGTACGCGTCTGCTCAAACTTTGTAAATTTTCAATTTTAGTCCTTGTCTCGTTTCATAGACCGCACCAAAGCTAGTCCCATCCATCTTTAGCAATCATACAAAAAGTTAACAATCATTGGTTATCAGAGTAAATTATAAATATTCATAATTACCATATATGTAGCTTTTTCTAAGTATTTATTTAAATAGAAGAAATTTTTCAAGAAAACTAATATCTACAATAAGGGAAAATATGAATGAAAATTCTCTGGACGAACAAATGGTTCAGGTATCATAATGTATTGCAATTGACTACAATTGAAACGTGCTGCATTATTTGTAAAATTATTTGTTACCATGGCTAATGATTCATATTTGATACCAAGAATTGTTAATCGAGGTAAACGAATGTTTGTTGCCAAGGGAAATTCTTCAACATAATCAGTATGTGCGAAAATAAGATTCAGCTCGGAAACTTCAGCAAACGTAATCAATGTAGATGAATGTTGCTTGTTCTTTTGTGGTTGAAAATTATTCACACTTAATCGTTGCAGAAATGGAAAATCTTGAGAGATTATTTTAAAAAATTCATGTTCAAATGAATGTGCGTCATTCATAAGCAGCCATCGAACTTTATAGAAATTACCATGACGAAACGAGTTGGTTAGATGTAAAAAAGTATCGAATTGATATGGAAGTGAATATGCATGGCATCTGCCTCCAGTTTTCATAACATTGGCATATGAATCCAGATGTTGATATCCTATTTTGATAAAACTATTTTGAATATCGTCATTCGATGAAAGATCAATTTTAACACCTTTATCGTAAACAAGAGTGTTTATACTGAATGTAAATTTGTTTAGCCGTGGCATTTGAACAAGAAAATCATTGTATAAATGAGTACCATCGATATAAGACAATTTAATTCTTACTATTGCGATAAGTAATGTCAATTCTTCGAGATTTAACATTCGACGAAGTAGTGGAACAATTCGTTTGTCATAAGCATATGTTTGAAAATACGAGATTAATGAGAAACATTTTAATTTGAGTAGTTTGCTCTATAAAGAAAACAGACAATTAATTAGTATATTTCAGTTATATGTTGGCAATTGACAATGATCTATTCAAATTTATTTAAAGACTTGTAGTTGTAGTTTTGATGCCAGAGATTCTGTACTGTGAATAAGTTGTTAATTGTCTGATTTAACTATCAAGAATAAAATAATATTCAATACTTACTGTGTTATCTATATTTGATGATGAATCCGAGATTTTATATATATCAATGATTAATGTCGACAAACATTCGAAATGTCCATTAAGAATATATAGACAGTCATCAAAAGTGTTGACATTAATTTTCATTTTAGTTAGAATTAAAGATATAGGACACATTGATGTTAAATTAAAAGTAGAATCGGTTACACTTCTGTCACCAAACAATTGATCAATGGTCAAATCCTTTAGATGTTTACACAAAAATAATATCAATGTAAATAAATTCAGTTCATTTCCATTCGATAATTTCACTATTATGCCACCTGTGATTTCGACTTTAAGATGAGTTATTTGATCACTAAGAACACGACAAAATATTACATCACCTTAAATATACACCCCAAAAAATGATTATCATTTGATATTTGATAATATAGATGCTTCATTCATTAAATCAAAAAATAAATTAGAGAATATACTTGTTAAATATTGTAAAAGTGGTTCTTGTTGAAAATTGACAAGTGATAGCGAATGAAGTTGACGATGATCAACTGTATTAAAAATAAATTCCATAAAAGGTGATGTAACCGTGATTTTATTTACTTTATGATGAATTCAAGGTAAAACTTTTGTGCGAATTTGATCAAAAACTTGATTATCTACCGGAGAATTATGATCAAGCGATGTTTTGACTGTTAAATCCAAATGATGAATATAGAGAGGATCGAGTACTAATTGATTAAAGCGTTTATTTAGATCCACAAGTGAATAGAATACATCAACCATATCCAATTTGCTGAGAATAATAAGTAACATTTCATCAGGTAAATCGAGTATATTAATATCATTGTTATTTGAAGTGTTCATGTCCCACAATTATTATCTATTTGTTTCAATCACTTCCTCTCCCTTTCTGTCTACATATATATATCTTGATCTTCTCATTGCCGTCTATGAGAATAATATTAATATAGTCATGTCAAACAATCATCAACTATTGATGCTTTTTTTTTAATCCGTCTAAAATGTTCTTTTTTCTCATTTATAATGAATAGAATTCGTGCGGTCACTTTCGAATGTTTTTATGTTTATCATACATCGAATATAGTATAACATACAGCATCATGCTTAGACTAAATTGAAATCGATTAAAAACTTGGATACTTGAACATTTCATCATATATATATATATATCTATGAATATGTTTCTGTTTTTAGCTTAAGTTTGAATTATATTTAATTACATTTGAAAAGACAATGAATAATCTAAATATTTTTATGGTTACTGAAAGACTAATGGCGTGTAGATAAAAAGAACATGCGATATGAAAAGAAAGCATGACAGATAAGAAAAAAAATTACATATTCTATAGTTTTTCTTTAAATGGTGCTTTTTTAAATGATCCTTCTAGTTCTGCATCAAACTTCATCTTTAATTGTTTTTCATGCGAACTACTAATCTTGGATGTATATAATGATTCAGAAGATTTTGTCGCATCACTTGTGGATGATTTAGTCATATCGAGAAAACCTGTATTTGCTTCATCGTTAGCTGGAAAAACAGTAAATGGATTTGTATAAACAATTGCTGATGGAATCATTACAATACCATCTCGAATATGAAAAAAAAATAATATTAATATTCACTTGTTAAAAAAGAAAATTAATTAATGGCTTGCCATCTTTGGTTTTTAGATGTACATATCGAATATCGATATAATGAACGAGACCTTTTTTAAAGGTAATATTCAATATGATTTAGAATCAAAATAAAATTTACCTTCAATTCCACCATCACCATCACTTCCATGAATTTTAATCCGACATCCTCAAATAAATGGTTTATTAATAACAAGAAAAATACCCAATATAAAATTCGTTGCTACTTCTTTAAGAGCAAAATCAATTGTAAAACCTGTTATACCAATGCCAGCTAATAATGATTTAGTATCAGCATCCACTGTTCCAAGTGTAGTGACACCAATAAATGCATAGATTGTTATTGCAGCTATTTTATAAATTAATCGAGCTAAATCTTCATATTCAATAATATGTGAATGAAGAAAAAAAACCTTTCTATCAATGGAGAAAGAGCAAGAAAGCATTTTAATCGTTGCATTGTTGTCAGTGGTGTTGGAGGGGGTGGTATCGGATATGAAATTGTTGGTGTTGTGAAGTCTATCGATTTAGATGGAGTGTGGGTGCGAAGCCTGTGTCTGGGTGTGACTTAGAGTAACTCAGTATTTCTGTACACACCCACACGCACACTCTCTATTGTGATATTTTATTTAAAAACTAAACGCAGAAGTCAAGCAATACCACAAGAATCAGATAAAAGCATGAATTCTTCTTAAGATGCTTATTTTAAAAAAATTGAAACTAATGTCACGGTACGAGTATTAGCATTAAACCGGTTTATAAACTAAATAATTTTCATATTTAATGTTAAATATATCAAAAGAAGCATTTATATGAAACAAACAATAATTATCTTGTTTAAGATAAATATGTGTGATTAATAAAGCAAAATAATTCATAAAGAGAAATTATTTGATTTTAGAGGTATTTTCTTGTCTTAAAAATAAAGTTATTTAAAAGTTCCATCAACTTCAGCTGACAATCGTAATTCAAATTTTCCATAAGCACATTTAGAATTTCGTATAATTGCACGATAAATACCTTTTTTCAAACGATAACTTAATACAGCTGCATAACAATTTCTTGTTTCAACATTAAATCCATCGTCATTTTGAGCCAAAAGTTGATTATTCGATTCAAAATAAAGTTCAATTAAAGGATCAGCAGTACCAGATGATTTCCACATTTGACAAGATACCCATGTGTTAGCTGATATTGTTACATCAGTTAATGTTTTATTGACAATAAAACAAAAACTAAATGTTGGTTCAGTAGCACTTGTACTTTCATTGGATATTGTATCAAAATAAAACCATCGTAAACATTCAGGTCGTGGAGATGGAATAGTTGTTATTTTTGTAGTACTTGTTTCAATCGTTGTCGTTGAAACAAATCTTTCTGTAGTACTAAGTGCTTCCATAGTTGTAATTTCAGTTGCAGCTACTTGAAATGTCCAAGTATAATGATTATCAATAGGAACTGATTCAATACCACATGATTCATTAAGTGTAGCTATTCCACTATCTAATAAAATATAATATTGTTCATTCTAAAAATAATAAATTTGACTGATTTTTCGGTGTGCAGTAGAAATGTCGAAAGAAAAAAAAATAGGGTAAAAATGTCGAAAGAAAAATGTCGAAAGAAAAAATATCCAAGGGGAAAATGTCGAAAAATGAAAAATACAAGAAACAACAATGTCTCCCATAAATGACAACTCTAAATTCGAACAATGCATGTTTTCTTTTCTTATAATTGTACTAGTCGAGATTTTTTACCACTAGTAGTAAGGATGACTAATAAGTGATAGAGATTAAATAAACAACTATATACGAAGTAAATAAATAAGTAAAGTGATAATAGTATGGCAACAAATACGGTATTTTCAAATGACGGAACTCAACCAAAATTGAGTATTTTATTTATTGAATCACAAAAAGGAAAAACTTTATTAGTAGCAAATGAATATACTTTCCAACTAAACAAAACAACGACTACAACTAAATATTGGAAGTGTACATACAATGGTTGCTCTTCTAAAATTCATGCATTTTTTTTCTATTAACATATGTTAGTGTTGGCATAAAAAATAAAGAATGTCTCTTCTATTTCAAGATTTTCTAACAAGAATAATGGGCCATTTTCTTAATGTATATTTTTTTCGACATTTTTCCCTTTCGGTGTTTTTCCTTTCGACATTTCTACTGCCAACTGATTTTTCTTAATAATTCAGTTCGAGAAAAAGAAATATATTTACTTGTTCCCATAAACAATTTGTATTAAATGTAATTTGTCGTGTTTGATAAAATACATTATTGTCATTAGCAACATCAATACGATAAACTTCTTGATTATTTGAATGTTTAAAAAAACGAATATAAACTCCGTTTGATCGTCTTGATCTGACAATATCACGATCAAATTCAATTGTCCATAATGATTGACTAGTAGATACTAAACCCGTCGGTGTAAAATGAATAATTTCTGGTGGATAAACATCAACTTGAAATGTTAAACATACTTGAGAG